GCTACTGCTGGTGCTACTCGAGCTGCTGGTGAGGCTGGCTCTGCTCAGACTCAGAGCATTTTCGCTTTCACTTCGGCTGCTGCTACTACTACTACTGCTGCTGCTGGTGGTGGTGGTGGTTGAGTTATCAGGACTGAGGAGACTGCTTGTCCCGACAGAAAGTGAACTCTCCCCACGACTTTGAGCATAACTTGACGGACTGGTGTCTTCACTACTCTCCAGTCCATCCGACCAGAAACTTTCGGTGGTTGTAGACCGGTTGTCACGGTCTTTGATCGACTGTCCACCAACAGCACGGCTTGACTGTCGCCTTCTTCGTCCTCGAGGCCGGTGTCTCAGCAACCTCGAAACAGCCTCGATATGGCCTGTTGCCCAGGTCTGGTCTTGCCGACACATGCCGACCTCCAGTTGCTCCCTTGGCGCCAGATCAGAAGTCGAACTCATCCGCACTTGGGCCAATTGTCTGGAGGCATCCGGTGGCGATGGACTGGGCGAGGCCTGCCAGACGCGGGTGGGCAGATGCGACTGGAACGTGACGGTTGGCGAGATGAGCTGACGTCTATTGAGGCTGGTACAGTTGCCGATGCGCCCGACCGACGGTTCAGGAGCCGCCGAGCCGGCTCTGCCCTCGGAGACGACGAGCCGGGCACTGGTGGTGGCGCTGGCGGCAGAGCTGGTACCAGCGCTCAGCTGCTTGGTTGGCCGGAGATGCGGTGTCAGGAAACTGAGGGGTACCAAGGAAGTGGAGCGTTTCTTCGTTGTCTGGCGCACCCGAGACCCCAACGAGGCCGACTGGGCACAGTGATTATTTGTCTCGGAGGCTGGCATCTCATCCGATCGTGTGCAGGCCGGCTTGGCGGCTTTCGACTTGCGCGCAAAGGCAGACAACATTTTGTCGCCACGACTACTTGCAACCGGCTATTCGCCAGCGTCCTTTGGGCTCGGCGTCGCGATGGTGGTACGCAATTTTCGTCGCTTTGCTGGCATACTTACGCTCTGTTTTCGCGGCTAGAATAAAGAGTTTAATAGACACGAGTTAGAATGGTTGTGTGGCGAGCAGGAGGATGCATGACATTGGCGAAATTACGGCTTTCGCGATAGCGTCTACTCATGCAGGTTGGAGAAAAACTATTCTAAAGCATATCAAATTATTGTCTCTAAGCAGTATGCATATCTTTAATAAGTTTGCTAGTAATAATAAGAATAGTAAGAATAAGAAATAATTCAGTCATCTCAGAGTGATGTAAGGGCTGATTAAGAATTGCAGCCACCTTAAGTCGTATTGGGTGAGGAAGGAGTCACAGTTAAATTTGGCCAAAAGAACAGACATTATATCTTATTCAAGACTCGCTGATAGTTTCGAGGCCTACTTAATATGAAAATAAGTAATGTAGTTCATTGTAACAGTGAAATACAAGCTTATCTATATCAATCGAACACTAAATGTGACATAGTACAGGCCTTGACTTTCGTCAAATTCAAGTATTTCCTGCAATCCAGGTGCAC